ACTTTGTTCATGCTTCTAAATACGTTGTCTTTAAAAATGAAGAAAACTCCGCATCTGCCATCGTGCAACAAGCAACACAGAGCAGAAAAAAAGGAGTCCAGATAGGAGCTTTGATGAAAAATAGGTTTAACATTTGAAGTCAGTCAAGTTAAACACTACAATCCCCTGCCTGCATCAGTGAAGGCATTCAAGGTTAGACTATGGTGAGCAGCTCTAATGAAAGCAGAGGCGGCTGAGGATGTTCTTTCAAACTGGGCTTCTCGGCTCCCACATCCTGCACCTACAGATCCTATCTCAGGATAAAACCGGAGGATTTGCAGAAGTCCTTCCACTGTATATGGATTTCCAGAGCTGCTGCCTTGCACTGTTACCATGGTGTGTCTGAGCAGCTCCATTACTGCAGAACTACCATCGACTCTGCTGCAGGAGAACCTGCTTCTGTTGGCTTTGTTCGCTCTGCGGAGCTCCCTGACTGCTCAGGTCCATGTCCCATTGGCTCTGGGGAGTTTCCAGCTTCTACATGTAACTAAGTTTAAAGTCCAATCTTCACACCTCTGTGGTGGGAGGACTCGGGTGATTTCCTGTTTTCATTCCTTGAAGCCTGCTTGTGTGCCTGCCCTGAGCTGACCTCGGCTGGCCAGTGCAAGCTGTCACAGGACACTACTCCTGGACAGGTTTCGGAGCTGTTCAAGGTGCCTTCTCCTCCGCTTGTACTGACATCCTCTGCTATAACTATTTGCACGGCAGAATCTCTCTGCTGGATGCTGCACTGGACAGACTGACATGGTAATTTATTCACAAGTTTATCAGCAAAATGTCAGGGCACAAAGCAAACAGCCACAGAGCATTTTCCTTAACATGCAGCCCTACTCTCACTTGAGACACACCACAAATGCTAAACCTAATTATTTAACAAATAAACATACATTCTAAAATAATTTTAAGGAAGCTACACCTATCAATAGGTATGTCAAAGGCAGATCACAACATGGACAGCAACCTGCTGGTTCTAAACACTCCTTTTTTCTAACTCCAAACACAAAGCTGCTTGTGCCCTACAGGCTTTCTACCTTTGGACTTGTTTTTGCCCTCATCTGTTTCAGCTTCAAGTTTGAGGCTGTGTGGTTTCAGGCTGCTGCCAACAGCCTGCATCTTGCTTATTGTCAGTCGATTCTGACTCACTTAAGGGCATCCGACACGGCGTGGCTTGCAGCCMTCCCACCTCCGGCTGCTCTCGGCACCCCGGCGCTGCCAGGTTCCCCGGCTCATGAATGGGGAGCTTCCCTCCCCGCCCAGGCATCTCGGCCAGGCCCACCCTGGGAAAGCCAAGGAAAGCCAAGGCTGCTGAAAGCAGCGGGMACAGTGACAAAGCTGGCATTGTTGTCCTGAAAACCCACTGGCTGCAGCCCACCCGCCTCACTTYGGAATAACGGATATAAAGATGAATCCCAGCTTTTGTTTAAAAAAATAATGTGTCTGCCTTTTGGAAAATGCCTTGAAAACGGTCACTGCTACAAGCAAAAAGAGAAATGGGTGGGRAAAAGTCACGTTGCTCAGGGTGGTCCTTGGGGTATCAATCTCAGAGCAAGGTCACGCTGGCACAGTTCACGGGAGGAAGGCAGCACATTCAGGATGCCACTGACTAGACTAGGGCATAGGGCATTTTTAAGCTCTTACACAAGTAAGAACATTCTTAGCGGGTATTTACAATGAGAAAACCTTGGACATATAATTTTTAAGGCTTCAGTGGCCACTGTGACCACKGAAGCATAGTCCAGAACATAGCATTTCTAGCCATAATCCTCAGGTTAAAAAAAAAAAAAAAAAGCAGCTGGTTGCATTAAAATGTGTTATTTTAAAAAGATCCACTATTGACTATGCTGGATGAATGAACAGTATTTACAGAGGGGGCTGTCTGAACTGGTGATAAACTTAGCATTTGCAGYCTAATCTTATATTCAATAGTCTCTACTTGTTGAAATCCTTTTCCTAGGCTCTTCTGGAGAAAATAAGATCTCAGTACAAATTGATGCTCCATGGTGAGTTTTCAGTCCAGGACTAAGTCATTTTTCCTGATTTTCTCAACAAACTTATATAAATCAACAAACTTATATAAATTTATATATTTATATAAATATAAATACAATAATCAAGTAAAAGCAATCTTACAGATTAAAACAGGTRGATAAGTATTTATAGGACCACTAAGCATCATCCTASTGGATCTACATTAAGTAGATGCCTCCATGTTTTCATAGCGCAGCTGTCCTGTAGCACTGTTTTTGTGGTAAATCCAAATGACATTAGTGGTACATTAGGAATCTGACACATCAATTAGTAATCCACTCACTTTTTCCAAATTCTACATCAGAAACTATCTGTGAATGCCAAATAGAGCTTGGGATCTCCATGAACATTTGTGAGGCTCAAGGCAAGAAGTAATAAATCTCAGCTTTTCAACACTCATGAGGAAGTCAGCCTTCAATAAAGCTCACAAGTATGACTCCCTGAAATTTATATTTTTGCCAACATAGATGTTAAATTTTGACCATTTTTTAAATAAAAATCTCATGAACAAGTACCTACCCTTCCTTGATTTTTATTTTTAAATTTGAAGACCATCTGTCTTTATCTCTGTAATTGGTTTCCTTACATTTCTGTCACTTAATTTCTGCTTTGTAGGTAAGGCCTGCAAACAACTTCTCTATTTTCATTGGATGTGCTGAAACAAGCCTGCTCAGAGTACCCTGCTGCAGTTCAATAAAAGCAGAATGAGCAGAGGCCTAAGTGCAATGAAGAGATTCCTGCTGACTTCAAGATCAGAAAAGACACTAATAAATTGGTCAAATTTTGAAAGAACTAGGTCAGTGGCAGAAGACAGCATACAGAGATGATTTTGATACTCAAGGAAGGTGATGAAAGACAAGTGGTATTTTATTCCTCTCTCTCTGCCTTTGGCATACCAGGGTTTGCTTATGCACACATATAGCTGGACATAAGCAAGGGATGGAGGGTCCACTTTACTTCCTCTACAACGGGATCTATGGGTCTTTTGGAGAAGAAAATTCCCCATGTGACAGCAAACTCTCTGCCTAAAGATCCTGCATCTGGACAGAGATGCTCCAGGGTACTGATTTCCAGCTACGCTCTTTCAATCCCTTCTGATATTTTGCATGTGCCTCTTGAAAATGCTTTCCAAGATGGAGATAAAAAAAGAAAGCCAGAGAAAGGACAGTGCGGTCTCACCACCAAAAATGCACTCAGAAAAGAGAAGGGTGTCTGCCATATTCTGCACAGATGGAAGGTTGTATCCTAAAGCATCCCTATTTATGCTGTGGGTTTCTTGCAAGGCATTATTAGGGGGAACCTTGACAGGCTCTGCCAGGAAACTTGGCAAACGCTGGGGCAGACCAATCTCATTCTTCTACACAGCTGGACTTTCTACAGCCCAAGTATTTTTCCTTCTTGGTCTTGGCCTGTCCAAAGATGAATGCTGAATTTCCCTTAACATTACCCACAGGTTAATTTGTTATTAAGCTTAGGCTCAGTTTAACATCTTGGCATGCAGTTTACATAAAAACTAAAACCAAATGTCCTCCATTTCTCCTGCTGAAACCACCCTTGGTTTGGCTCAGTTGTCTTTGGTGTCAGTGGAGGGTGAACAGGAGATTCATTTTCATCTTGTCGTTTTTGCTAGTAACTTAAATATCCTTCATTGAGGCAGCTTTGAAATATACTGCCATAAAATAATTAATTGTCATGGTACAGGATGGCCATAATCTGAACATAATATATTGGCTCTGACTTAGCTATCAAATCCATATTACTGTTACAGAAAGAGGATACCATCCTCGGCAACGTGCTCCGCACGATGTTGCTTGAGCAGAGAGGTTGGATTATCTCTAGAAGATCCTTTCAACCTCAAACTGTTCCGTGATACAACAGGCAAACAGTAAAGAGGGTAGAAAAAACCTTAACCACAGCTTCTCACTGAAGGCACAGCGTGGGATTTCCCTCTTCCATCCAGACAGAGGCTAAAGGAAGGAGCACTTGAAAATCCCATACGCGCAGCCTCTGCCCGCATATAAATTTGTTCCCAGGCTAATCCTATACATTACACAGTTTTACTGTGACAAAGTGCAACCAAAGTGATGTCAATGGAAAGGGAAAAAAGCCTGTAAGTATTATGAGTAAGTGCATATTACACTTAGCCTGGAAAGCAGTAAGCATGGTTCCTGACCTCTGGGGTAACTCATTAACTGCATTAAGAAGCTACAGTAAATTACTTTTCCAGTCCATTTTGTTTCCTTCTGCCCAGGGAATATTTATAAGCAGTTTCAAGTCCTTAGTCACCTGCAGAAAGTACCTAATAACCTCATTCTGCAAATTTCAAACTCCAATGTATCACATTGTCGGCTATTTTTTCCAGTCAGCCTTCAAAGTGTGTTAGTCTGCTGTGACTGAGCTGATAAATCAAGTGACATGACATTTTTTTCTGTTCATCTACTAATAGCATTTAAGCGATTTTCAAAATGTGGATATTTACAAATTCTGCCACAATAAATTATTTCCCAAGCAAAGTTGAAACTTTAAGTAAAATAATTACTAAATCCCTTTAGAGACACCCCTGAAATTTCGAGAAAATTTAGACAGTTGAAAGTTTTTGAAGTTATTGTCCTGGAGATGTTCTACTGTGCAAATACAAGCAGAATTTGTTTCTAACTACTATTAACAATCATATCGGGGAACAAGACCTCTTCGCACTGCTCAAAATCAAAATGTAGAGTGGAAAATTGGAAACGGTCAAACTAGAAAAGATTTGTGTGTGTTGAAATCAATATCTCAAAAAACTACTTCATCCATTTGCTTGATGAATCAGTTTTGAAATCATCACAAACATGCCACATCAGTAACTCCTCCTGTATGGCTCAAAATACAAGTTTACTACACTGACATGAGAAAAAATTATTATTTCTCTATGTAAAAGGATCAGTTCTTACTTGTGCCCAAGTTCGTGTGCAATTGTAAATGCCAGATTGAGACCGTTGTCTTCAGCAAGAACACATTTTCTCTTGGCACTGCAGACACCTCCCAGGTAAGCAATCCCTGCCACAGGAACAGAGAATATGTACATCAGAACTGGCAAAGCAGGTCATACACTCAAAGCAGACAACAGCAGCTTAGCCAAAATGATAAAAAATGCAACTCGTATGGAAAATATTGAAGTAGTTTCTCAAAAAAACATCCAAGAAATTTGATCGTCATCCTACAGAGAAATCAGCCTAGATTTTCATCAGACAGGAAACAGCTCAAGCTAAGCTCGCCCTCACTGATTTCACTGGAAAATATATTTCACTGTCCATAGAGACTGAAGAATTCATTTAATCTTGTCTATTAATGCATCCTCTTCCACAGCATAGAAAGACAGAGTGCAGTAGTCTTAACAAGCTTTGAAATGGACTTCACCTGACTTCCAGGATTCTGTGGGGGTGAGACTCTGAAGAGATCTTCCATTTTCCCTTATTTTCATACTTAAAGAAAGAAAGCGGAGCAGAGACGGAAAAGCTGGCAGACTACAGGTAGTGAGTCACAAAGGCAACAAAGGTGGCACAAGCCTCCTATGACTTAGTGGAAATTAGGATTTGATCCCACAGACAATTGCTCAGTTCTCTCTGGCCCTGTTTGTGTGGGCACCAGAAATGGTCGTAGGCCGCAGTCAAAAAGGAATTCAGAAGTCACAGCATGAAACTTCTGCTGTGGAAAAGCAATAATCCTCAGATGCCCTTCCTGCATGCAGACTGTCCTCTGCACAAAATGCTAGTGTACTTTTGGGGAAGTTTTGTGCTGGCATCCTTGTCAGACAGCTTGCTACTGGGATCCTGTTTCATCTTGCACCCAGAACACAGAGCTGCTGGAATTCTGCACAGAGATTCAAGGCAGAGAAGGAGAATAAGGATGCCTCTAGGGGCCAAGTCCTCTACTGCTATCTCAAATGGCACACGAGCAGTTCAAGCAGACACCAAGGACAGGATTTCCAAAGAGCATGCAGCAACCTATGTACTAAACTCAACCTGCCAGATCACAAAGCCTTCTGCCACGCTGAAGAAGCATCAAGCCCTTCCATATGTGCCCTTTATGTTTTTCAAACAGACATATTTATTTTCTACCAGAAGACAAGAGACCTATTTCCTTGCTATTGCCCTGTCTTCCCTAGACAGGTAGACAGTATCTGGCTGCCTTTAATGCACAGACTTCCACTGGGCACCACAAACACGATCTCACTTTTTCTTCTGTCAGATCTGACAAAGCTGTTTCTGTGCAAATGATGCAAAACTTTGAGCCTGGAAGTCCAGTTCTAATATGAGTTTTGCTAATGACAAAAATATAATTAAGATTTAATCTCTTTAAACCAATCGCCATGAAAGTCTGCACTTCAGTACTCTTAGACAGACTTTTTACCCTAAAAATGATCATAAGTGTCAAAAAATTACTCAGAAAGTAGTATGTTGCTTAGAGGAGGAGATTGCACCCTCAACTCACACAACTGATAGCCCAAAGAACCAGTCATAGAACAGAACTGCAACCACAGTCATCTGCAGCATTCTGCTTTGAGCACACCTTCCCTTGGAGTTACCGGCCACAGAACATCCATGGTGGACTTTGGAAAGGGAGAGCCAACAGCTTTCCTCATTTCTATCTGCTACCATGCATTTTTATGCGAACCTATAAATAACACCACCCTTACCAATAACAGTCTTTCGCTTCCAAGACTACTTGGGATCAGCAATTTCTGGGAACGCTTTCAACTGAATGAAAAAAGAATTTGGGGAAATGTTAGTTTACTATAAAACCAATGGAAGAAGGTTGGGGATTAAGAGGAACAGCCAGATTTTGATTTAAGGGAAGGAAAAATTGAACATTTGAGTCACAGAAGCTAGGGCTGGAAAGGAACAATTATGTGACTTGTCCAACCCTCTGCTACTTCAGATTTGCCTTTTCTGTCACATTTTACAATTCTTAAATCTTCTCCCAGCACCTGAAAGTGAGCTGAAGAAAGGAACCCTCCTGGTGAGTCTTAATGTGTCCACAGCTGCCTCTCCCACAGGAAGAGCTCAAGAAGTTTGCTGAGGCGGAGACCTAAGCACATGGACAGAGAGGAGACACAACTTGGATGGTCCAGGGGTTGCTGGGGATCCCAAGCCCCAGTTGAGCAAGGAGAGGTGAGTGAGGCTGAGGATTTGCCCTTCACCCATCTCGTCTGGTCCAGGCTCTGCCCGCTGTGCCAGGCTATAAACCCTGGGACAAAACTATCATTCCCCCAAAAGCCACTCCTAGAAACTCTTTTAGAGCCTGGGGTACATAGCCCACCACGCTGCAATCAGAAAAGACGGTACAAACGTGGCTCTATAATAAACGAATCCAACTCTGCTGCCGTCCACATTTAATGAACGTAGAGGGGCATTTCAGCTSAACTGCAGCAGTTTCAGGCATAGACAACAGCAGCAACCAAAGCAGGGTGGCTACCGGAAGATTTGACAGCATTTTGTCCTTACTACAAACCCTGATTATTCTGCCTTTATGCTCCACCTAAACAAGGCAGTATTGTAACTCAAGCTCAGTGGTGAGGCAGGCAAGCAAGCTTAGCTTGAAATGATTCATGCTGAAGTCTTTGTGATAAACTTCAGAAAACAAGACTGATTCAGTGTTTGCTGGCACCAGGAGATGGAAGGGGGCAATATTTCCATGTTTGGAAGATGTGGCAGAGCAAAATAGTCTGGAGTTCTGGCGAGGTTTTGAAAGAAGTTAAACATAAATTAAAAAGTAATATAAATCATGAATGCCTCAAGTGCCAAATCTTCTACAGTCTCCCTTGAGCAGCTCTAATCCTGAATACTGAAGGCTGACTGCCTGGAACAGTGGTCTGTGCTAAAAATCTCATTACTGAGTGGTGTAAAACTTACAATTAAGAACTTTTACATTCATTACTGACTGGAAAAGAAACTACAGTAGCTCTTTTATACACTCTTGGTCATCTTTTTTGGTGTTTCCCTCCCCCCACCCAAGTGCTTAGTGTCAGTTCTTTGTGAACATTTTATAATATTTGGAATACTAATTCCAAATAATTTTGAAACATGGGCAGCTACAGTTATTATCGTGATTGTTAATTACATTTGTTGCAGCATAGTCCAGGGAGCAGTTTATCCAGGAGTGGCCTAGGAAGCTCAATCCTAGAAAAGCAGAAAACTCTGCACTATAGAAGTTGATCTTCCCACTAGGTTCATTTTTTCAACTCCTGAGTAGATCAGTAAGAGTCATTCCAGAGCAGCAAGTTGGTACTAACAAACTGTTGTAGCAAACTCACTCTGAAAAACCATTTGCTTCAAAATGTAAAAAATACACAAACGTGCATAAACATGTATTTACATATGTATTTTGCATCTAACCATTCCATGAGACTAATTATCTTTTGACCAATGTATCTTTCCATGAATTTTGATTACAACAGAAACAGCAGATATGCTGTTGATCTACAAATTGCTGAAGCACCACAGTTCTTTAGCAAATACATCTGAACTGCTGGAATCAATGAAACTTCTCTGTAACCCACGCGGTAATCCACGTAATTGATACACAGAGAAGACACCTTTAGCTGAAAATAACAGTAGTACAATGCCTTGGTAGCTGCATAAATATGATTTATTTTCTCCACTGGGATGGATGGAAACTGTTATTTGGTTTCATCTCTAAAAATTCAAGATTTTTATCTGAGCCTTTTGATTCTCCAGAATTGAAATGGAAACTTCCTGCATTCAGACATGCTCATGAAATTTCTGGCATGCTGCAGTTCTACCAGGCTTGGAGTAACTTCTCTTCATTTGGCAGTTCTGCATCCGGCCCTGGCAAGGAGACAGGTGCATGAAAATGAAACAGAAGGGGAGAAAGTTGAACTGATTATTGCTCTGCCACAACTCACTCTGGGTTGAGAGAAATACACAGTCAACACTCTTTCTTCACACAGTCCTTATCTTCCCAGATCCACTGCTAGCCCTCAGCAGCTACCACAAATCTGTTTTTAAAATAGGGCAAGCAGAAACAATAGTATTAAAGAGAAAGCAAATTATTTTTTTTTAAATGAACTGTGAGGGTTTTTTGCTTGTTCGTTTGCTTCTCCCATGAGAAACTGCACAATTACAGCCTATAACTTCTGTGCTTGGGTTTGAACACGCAAAGCTATCCGCACTTCCACAGCAAACCCTAGGACACAAGCAACTGTGTAAACTCAGATTTATCCAAAAAGTTGTCATACATAAACAGTTTGCAGCTGTTGGCCTTTCTGTCAGCTAATGAGCCCTCTGCTAGCAATATCTCTTCAGGGGAATGATTACATTTATCCTACCAGCTCAGCTAGGCATTAGGATATTACATCTTTGTCATGGCAATAGCCAGAGCTGGAGGAAGGGCTGGTGGCTGGGTTCACATTTCCCCCGAAGTGAAACACTCTGGGCTTCCTTCTGCCGACTGGAATATTTGCTCAGCGAGTGGCTTGCCCAGGTACTCCAGCTTTCAACTCTCTAATGTCTTGTTTTCATTGCACTCCTAATACCTTAATCTCTCCTTCTGCCAGCCACCTCTGGACATAGAACTTTTACTTGATTAAAACTTGGCTGGCTTTCCTCTTTTCGATGTGTTTGCTGCAGGGAAGGGTGCCAAGCTCGAAGGCCTGAAGTCTGCGCCGCACAGATGGAGACTCACTGCACATCCACACAGCAAACTTCTCATTCACCTCCGTGGGCAGTTTGGTGCTGTGTTTTTCTCATCCTCCCATGATCTCTGTGTGCAACTGCCATCAATTACACTCCCGTAGCCTCTCTCTAACATCCTACACAAGTAAAATCAGGAAATCCTAGAAGTGATTCATGCTCTGCCTTTTCGTTCTATTACGATGATATGTTTGACAGAGATGCTCTGCCTGCATTTACTCATCAAGTCGCTCACCAGGGGAATCTTTGAGCGCTTGTGGTATTTAAAAAAGAAAAATATTTCTCCTTTCTGTAATGTCTACATACAAAAGGTTCCAAGCTTTTCACAAACATTGAACAAGTTTC